TACTTCTGGTTATGTAATCGCATATTTAAGCAGGGAAAAAGCAAGACCAAAAATAGAGAGGATAATTTTTTGGACACTTCAGCCATTATTGTTTTTTTGTTTTTTTTAGCGGATTTTGTTATATTTTGTACTTTTAAATTTTGATTTACAACTTATTTAAACAAGAGGGAGAAAAAAATATTTACATATACAAAGATTACACAATTTATCCTCCATTTGTTAGATATTTCTATCAACAAGATCAATATTTCTAACAGAATACGATTGAGGATTTTATATTTATTTTCCTAATAATATCTCCGAACTGTTTACCAACTCCCATCAGAAATCCATGCTGAGGGGGCTCCACCCCTCCACACCAAACTCCTAGATAGATAGATAGATAGATATATATAGATAGATAAATCTATATATATATATATATATATATAGATAGAGGATGTTTATCTGTTTTTTTTGATTGAATAATAAAGTGAATATATATATATAGATTAGACAGGCAGGTATAGACATATAGATACTGATAGATATACAGATAGATGGATAAATAGAGAAATGCATGCAGGAATGAGCTCTCAAAACTGGGATTCATGGACCTTTTACGTTTAATATTTCCCTATGAGAGGGCAAGAATTAGGTTGTGGGTTAGTTAGAAGGAAGTTTTGTCCTTTAAAAAATAAAAGAGATCAAGGTTTGAATAAGAATTCACAAAATTTATAATATACAGAGTCATTTGGCAGAAAATTCCACTCCAGTTTTGCATTTTACAAATTATATCAAAATGTAAATTCAAAATGCAGAATTTTTTGACAGTATTTAAATCTAATCTAGGAGCTGAAAGAATTTTTTTCATTTTTTTTATTGAAAGAATAAAACTACTCTTTGAAGTTTCTGATAAAAAGTGAGAAAAAGAAAATTCTGTTTTTTATTCTTAATTTTTATTTTTTATTTTAGTTCATTTTATTTATATAGTTCTAGTGAGAGGGTACGTATAGGCTTGGGATTATTTTAAATTTTTTACATTTGGTCCTTTTGCAGTAAGAAGACCATCTTAAGGGGCGGTAGACTTAATTTACAATGAAACTCCATTTCTAGAGTGGCATGTCCGATTGACAACGGTACCTTTTGTCTGAACTAGGATGAAAGAATTATCCATGTTATTCATCTCGGCATTAACAGTTATTGCGGATTTGTGCTGCAGAAGAAAATGGTGGAAACGACAATATCTTACAAAATATTGATCAGTTCCAGGTTTAAGGAGGGAGGTAACGTTGTGAAACAGGCATGACCCCCTTTTTTAAAAGGGGGTCACTTAAAATTACCACAGTCCCATTAACCCGCCAAATATGCTGAATTTTAAAATATTTTACAGAAATGTCCCGGAAATGTCCCCTCCCTCCGGAAAATGTCTCTCAGGAATAATTTTTTTTCAGGCCTTTTTTAGCGCACATGTTGTAAACTAAGTGCAGGGGGGAATTGTTACATAAGTTCTGTTAAAACTGCAAAATGAGCAACAAACAAAATTAACATAGATTACTACTTTATATATAAGATATATTGGGGACCCTGCTTTGCCTGGAATAATAGTCGACTAATTAAACTTACTAACTAACTAAACATTTCCCAATCAAAATTTGAGGAAAATCGGTCAAAGGGTTTATAAGTTATGATCGGACATACACACAAACAAATAGACTAACAGAGATTACTTCTTTTTATATAGAGATAAGATTCATGACTCTAATCTTCTCATAGATTTTATTTACATCTTCATATTTAGATTAAAGTTAAAAAATTTCAAAAAATGTTTCTTTTTTATTTTATCTGAATAATTTACATTTGAGTCTATTTTTCAGTGTAAAAATTTATAACTGTTGCTCTTTCGTTTGTTTTCCCCAACTTTTCAAAAAACTTTTATTCTGCTTCGTAATGTTTCTTAAGCCACAATAGAAATGTTTCTCGAGAAGATTTGAAAAAACTAATTTTTCGCTTCATCAGCGCATTCTTTTGAAGAAAGTAATTTCATTTAACATTAATATTTAGTATTTATTTAAAGAACACCGCGTTTTGATTCGTAGCTTATAATCGCAAAATTGTGCGAAATATTTTGATCTTAGCTCAGGCTTTTCTTTTAAATATAAAGTTAAGATTCAAACTTAAAGGAATGCCCGAATCACACGGTACTATTGAAAGCTTTGTCTGATCAAATATGAATTAGACATCAATATTTTTTGTTTCTTTAAACTGTTTATTTTCATTTGCATGGAGGGTCACTCAAAATTACGCTTACAGTTCCTTTAAACTTTCCAATTTTTATGAGTTTTCCTCAATATAATTAATTGTATATGATGAATTGTTAAAGATTTCCCGACCTTTCATTGGTCGATAATCAAAATAAAGATCCTCAAAACTTTGACCAATAAGGGGCCAATAAAAAAAATGCGGGAATTAACATTTTTTTCTCATTTAATTTATTCAAAAGTTTTCGACTGAAGCTCTGATGGGTTTATCATGGTTTGAACCACGTTGAACTAAATAAAACTACATGGAGAGGAGAAGACCAATTTTATTTAAAGGGACTGTTTTCCTTTTTCAAAATGCACATTATATCAACATTCTTGGGATTAAGATTCAAAAGAACACTCCGAAGTCTATCTTTACCACCTTGAGATGAGAGGTTGGGCCCAAAAAAATCAAAACTTTTTGCGAAAAGGATTTGAGTCTGTGCCACAAACTCAAAATTTCTAATTTCTATATCTTTGCAAACTTATGTTGTAATCCTTTGATATTTCCAACTTAGATTATTCAATCTAACAGAATTTCTAGTTTGAAATGCACAGATATAAGGATTAGAAAATCGGAGTTTGTGGGAAGGACTCATTTCCTGTCCATCGTGTGTTGTATTAATCTTATAGTGGGGATGGGATAGGGAGGATTAATTCCCGCCTCTGACTCTTGTTTAAAGTTGTTCACTTACTCTGGCAGTGTGGTATCGTCCCAGCCCATGTTTGATCCTGGAGACAGGTTAGGTTCGGAGATCCATACAGAACATATCCAGGTCCACACGAGAACTCAGCAATTGTCCCGGACGGATACAGATCCTAGATTATGATATTATGATCCGGACTGTAAAATAACTGATCACTCGGATTAAATCCTTGTATCTTTGCAACCTCATTTCAAAGCCCTTTGATACTTTAAACTTTCAATGCTAATAAATCAACTAGTAAAAATTTGAAATATCAAAAGATTGCATCATCAGGGTGCAAAAATATAAGGATTATGAAATTTGAGTTTGAGTCCAGTATCATTTTTTGTGGTTTTGTTAAATAGTTAAGAGAACCTGTGAATTCTTGTTGTTAATATATCTAACTGAACCATGTTGAATCGATTGAAGACTAGGACAGAGAGCCAGGTTGCAGGACAGATCCGTCCTGTTCCAGGTTCCATTCTCAGTACACACAATCTCATTCAACTCTCCGGGTAGAAAACCTATAAATTAATTCATTTATTTTATCCCAATACTTATTCAAAATGTGATTTTTGTATGCAACGAATTATAAATTGGTCTTTACTTTGGTCTTTAGCTCTGAAACATTATTTTGAAAGTTCACAAAACTCTACAACGAAAATCCTAATTTTCTAATCCTTCATTTTGAAGCCAAAGTAATAGACCTTTAACAAAAAATAGAAAATAATTGCTTGTGCCAAGTAATCAGTTAATTTTGTGTTAATTTATTCAGATAAAATAAAATAAAAAAGTTTCCCAAGGATATTGTTTGATCTTTATTGTTTTTAAATAAATTTCACAAAGTTAACATTTAAGGGACTGTCCTTGTAATTTTTAGTGACTCTCCATTTCAAAACAGGGGCATGTCAGATTCACAAAGGTCAGAGAAAAAAAACACACTTTTTTCAATAAATTAACGAAGACAACTTTCTCTTATAGTTACTCAGTCGAGAAAAGGAAATGCAATTCTTCAGGTGAATGATCACTTTGAAATACGTCTATAGTCTCTTAAATTCTCATCCATTGTGGGTAACCCTCTACCTTCTCTACAGACTAGAGTTCTTCTTGAACCAAGCTCAGTTCCTTCTCCTACTTCTACTGCTACTAGAGATCCGTCCTTAACCAATCCAGGTTCTCCACAATCCACAGGAATACATTCAACCCTGCATAGGAAAGATAGACACAACTATTTTGGGTTCGTTCTTAAATATTTGAGGTTTTTTAATCATTGGTGATATGGTTGTTTTTTTTCTTTTCTTTACAATTTTTGACTGAAAATAAAATAGTTCTATTCCTGGCCTTCTTTGCAAGGACTCGCGGATTTATGCAACAGAGGAGAAGTGAGAATTTGACAAAAAATTATTTTAATTGGTAATTATTCAAATGAAATGAATTATTCAAATGAAATGCCACTTAAAATTACATCAATTACTTCTTAGTCGATATTTTTATAGAATAACTTACATGGAAAACTGCCAGGTTGAATCCTCTTGACAGATGATTCTAGATCTGCCCAGGAGCCTGAACCCAGGGTTACATCTCATCTCAGCTGTATAGGTAGACCCGGAGACACGGAGCTCAACCGAACCATTCCCGGGCAGTGGAGCAATCCCACAGGGGACCTGAAATAATAATGCTACTACTATAAATAATAATAATAAAAATAATAATAATGATAGTAATAACAATAACAATAGTAATAATACGAATAATAGTAATAATACTAATAATAGTAATAATAATAATATTAATAATAGTTTCAATAATAATACTCGAGACCAGATTTGATGAATTGCGAGGTCATTCAACTACGTAATTGAACTTTGAATCTGTGATTCAAGATTTGAGCCAGTAATCAAGAGAGATAGTCGAACCGGTAATAGGTAATTTAGTGAACTCTCTCCAATTCATTAAATAAAGTCCCCGGTCCACCACCCCTTACATCTGTTGTCTTCATGAAAAACAAATTACAGATTGTTTCGCAAACAAATAAATCTTTCAATCTTTTATTTCTGTAGTTTTTAAGCTCTTTATTGAATTGTGAATAATACATGTCCTTAGAAAAGCAGTAAACAATTCTCTACTGAAACCAATTTTTAAAAGTCTTTATGTGGAAATTGATCTTGTTAGATTTCAAATTTTTTCTACGTTTTCAAATACTATCTTTGACTTTTATACAGCAGTGTATCGACTAACCTCTATACAGGGATCAATAGTTCCTCTCCAGGTACCATCCTGAGTGCAGGTGAGAATATTCCTCTGCTCTGAGAGGAACCCTGAGATACAGGAGTAAACTGCTCTACTCCCGAACCCGAGATCGTATCCACCCTCACTCTCAAAGGAAACCTGAATGTTTAATGATTAAAGGGACTGTTAGACTCAATGTCAAGGGACCCTCCATTTGTGATACCCTTTTAACGTTGACTATTGTAAGATGGTGGAGCTATACTCAAGGAGTATGAAATAGAAGAGACATACAACTAACGCGGCCCGCCTTACCATATGTCTGATATAAAATTACCGCGTATACAATAATAACCTATTCTGAATATTTCTTATAAAAAGGGAGTTGTATCTCCCTTCTATAATTCATACTCCTTGGTTATACTTCTTTTATCCGGCACGTAAGGGTACCGATGTATGGGTACCGATGTAAGGGTACCAATGTAAAGGTACTGATGTTAGGGTACTGAGGTAAGGTTACCGATGTATAGGTACTTATGTAAGGTTACCGATGTAAGGGTACAATTGTAAGGGTACCAATGTAAGGGTACCAATGTAAACTGAAGTGAGGGTACCGATGTAAGGGTACAAATGTAAGGGTACCGATGTCAGGGTACAATTGTAAGGGTACCAATGTAAGGGTACTTACGTAAGGGTACCGATGAAAGGGTACAGATGTAAGGTTACTAATGTAAGGGTACCGGCCTAAGGATATCGATGTAAGGGTACCGATGTAAGATTACCGACGTAACACTATTTTTACTCAACATGAATATTCTAGTTTCTTTACTTTACCTCCATATTCTGATAGGACCTAGGAAGACCACAAGGTTTAGGAAGGCAGGATGGAATATCTCCTCTCCATCTTGAATCTTCGGAGCAAATCAGTTCAGTATTCCCCTAAACATTAAACTTTAAAGGAATTGATAAGAAATTTGAAGAAACCCCAAGATTGTTCAAATAAATAAAATAATTATTTTACAGTGGGCATTTGAGGATCTTTTAGAAATAAAGTTAGTATTTTATTGGACCCTTGAATAAAAATAGCTGAATTTTTAAAAGATTTCTAATACATCCATAATTGTTCCCTAAATATTTTAAGTATTACCATTAAACAGAATTGAAGGTTATACATAAGATTTAGTTTTTTTTCTCTTGCCACAACATATACTAGTATTTACAACCATGTATGTCCAATGTCTATGAATAATAAATAAACTACAGTCGGTGTCGTATATATCAATACAATGCTGACGACTTTCGATTTTAATTTTGTTTTTTTACCAAGCCTTCAAACAGCATTTATACATATAACCATGGAAACAAAGAGAATCCTCTCTTTGTTTAATTGTAGATATCAATATAAAAAAGTAGTCTTCATTGATATTAACGTCGACCACTGTATCCACACCTACCCTGATCTCGTATCCTGGATTGCAAGTGTACGAGACTGTATCCAGGTATGAATATCCTTGAACCTCTGCTACTCCATGAGCCACTTGAGCAGGTTGAGGGCAGGTTAGAGGTATACAGGTTGGTAAGCTGGGAGTCCAACTCAGGTTCATCTGACAAACTGATCAGTATTAACACTAAACCATCAACTCCTCAATACATGAACAGTTCTAATCGAACCTGGGGAAACAAACCTATATAATTTCCGACAAAAAGGTTTCCAACCTGCTGGGTTTTCCATTTTAAAGGATTTTAGACCTAAAAGGTTTTAATATTAAAGGTTTTTCGATCAAAAGGATTAGACCTAAAAGATCTTTTGATCTTACGGTGTACGATCTAAAGTATTTCAGACCTAAAGGTTTCTCGAATATAAGAATTTTCAACCTAATTTTTAACGATCTAAATGATTTCTGATCTGAAGTTTTTCAAACTTAATGAATTATAACTATTTATCTCTTCATTACAGGGGGGCAAAAGGGATGCAATACATATAGGAGGTAATATTACATTACCAAGGCTTCCAAAGACCTTGTTGGGTCTCACTAGCGTAGCGAAATATGCTTTGATGGGACCCAACAAGGTCGAAGGAAAGCCAAGTTGCCAAGCATCCAATTGTTGCCTCATATCAAAGTCTACCTTTTAAGGTTTTAAAAACTGTAAAATCTATTTAGTTTTGTAAATCATATGTTTGAGTTCAGAAATCAAATCTAATTCATGTTTTCGGAGTTCTTAGAATAAAAATTTGCAATTAATTAGATTATATCCCAAAGGTTGCAATCTAACATTGGGACCCTGTTTTCAGGGTTGCAATGTAAATATCAGGGATTCAGTAGAGTCATAATTTTGTTCAAATGTTGGAAAAACATGTTATGAATGATAGATTAAAATAGCTTGGTAGAGTTGGGAGTAGGTTGGTCAGTTATAAAGGGAAGCTGACATTATGAATGTAAGCTGGGTGTAAACTGTAAACTGTAAACTGTTCGATATGTTTAAGAAAAATAGATCTATTAGATATATTTGTATCCCTATTTCCTCAACGTTAGAAGGAAATCCACGAAATATTTTATGTTTTTCTGCAGTGTACACAAAACCAACTGTCCCACAACAGTTTGAGGGACAAGTAGGTCGTGGTTATATTATAACTTTGTATTTACAACGTTAAGGATAACGTCATAATCCATATATAAAGTAGAACTATATGTTTGTTTGAATTTCCGTTCATAAACCCCTGAAACAATTTGCCTCAAAGGAATTGAGTCTTATCACAAACAAAAAATTTTCCAATCACAATATCTTAGCAACCTGATGGTGTAAACCTTTTATATTTCAAACTTAGATTATTTGATCTAACAGAATTCATAGTTTGAAACTTCTAAGGTCTACGGCATTCGATTGCAAAATTATTTGGATTAGAAAATCAGAGTTTGTGGCAAGACTCAAGTCCTTTTGATTTGGAAACTCTCTCAAACCACCGGAATTATCATAGCTTTTTATAAAAGAAAGATAAGTGTGCTGAATTTTTAACCAAATTTAGTTACCTGGCAAAGCCGGGTTCCTAAGCTAGTATAAAATTAAATCCTTAAATCTTCTTGACAAAATAAACTCAATTTAATCCTAAAAATGGAAAAAATTGATTTCAAAATGGAAAAAGTTTCAACTTACAGGGTGTTCCAATAAACACTGAAATTGTAGATAAGACAATTTCAGAGTCGCCAAGTAATTTCCATGTTTATTAGGACAGCCTGTATTTAACCCTAATTGTGACCATGTATACTGTTATTTTTAGTTAAAATTCTTCCTGAAGTTTATTATGATCTATCTTATAGTGTTATATTCCTAGGACGGATACTCCTGAGATCTGAAACCCTGGATTACAACCTAGTCTGGCCTCATCTCCTGGCTCGGAACCATCTGTCCGAACCCAACCATTCTTCAGTACTAGAGACAAGCAGGATCAGGGTTATATTCAGAATTCAAGGGAATTAATTTCACAGAGATTCCAATTGTGGCTCTTTTTTAAAGAGTTAGATACCCAGTTCACAACGGTACCATTTAATCTTTTTTTAAGGAGTTACATACCCAGTTCACTACCCAGTTCACAACGGTACCATTTAATCTTTTTTAAGGAGTTACATACCCTGTTCACAACGGTACCATTTAAGCTTTTTTTCTAAGCAAAAATAAAAGAGAAAGCCCCGTTTTCTAGGAGAGAAAATAAATAAAATTTACAGAATTTTTTCAAAAAAAAATACAATAACTTATTGTTATTCAGAAAATAGGATAAAAGGTACCATTGTCAATTAAATTATAAGAACATTTTTTAAATAATATGAAGAAATTGATTAAACGCCTTAAGGTTTCAAAGATATAATAATTAGAAAATCATTAGTTCCTTGGCAAGAAAGTGAGTAAAATTTCAATTTATAAATTGTATTGATGCATGTAGATCAATGAAAGGGACCAGTCCCTTGAATTAATTGCGCCTTCTACAAAGATAATAACATAATCTAGATGTGCGGCCAGGTAGAAACCTCCTTCCTAAATTGTTTGTAACATAAAACTCATATTTGTACCTCTACAAACAAGAGACATCTATAATGGCATATTGATTGGTTTATCACGAAAAAAAAAACAGAGTAATAAATGAGCAACACTCCAGAGGATAAAATGCCATGCGTACGACAGAGATGGTGCTGCTTTCAATTATTCACAAAAACTCAAAATTATATGACTTTCTCATATCCATCCTACTGCTTATAGTACCTAGCTGAGGACAGATATTGTGAATACAGGTTGGTTCCTCTCCACCCCACTCCCCGGAGTACAGGCAGGATCTAGTTCTAACCAACAACATCTTATTGAAATAAACCCGAACTTCAAAAAGATTTAAATTTTAGGGATAGGCAGACCACATTTTGGAAATGGCAGAACTAGGGATATTTATTGATTATGGTTTCATGAATCATATTTGTAAAATTATGTTGTAAAGTTGTTTTTAATAAATGACTGTTAAAATCTTATATAAATTTTCTATTTTGAATAATAATTTGTCCCTGAGTCCTGATAAAGTGTATCCGTCCTCACATCTGTATTCTATATTAGCCTAGAGAACAGGTTTGGTTTTAATCATCTACTGTTTAAACTGTTTACTCATTTACAAAACATTACTCTGTGCTTATATACAGGGTTTCCCAATAAACATGTGAATTGAAAGACGACTTGAAAGTCGTGATTAATTTCCGATATTTAATGCATGGCAAAGAAATTTAAAAACGAGGCTATATGGCCGACGAGCTTTTCATAAATATATATATATATATAAATATACCTTTCTTGTATCTTCAAAATTGACGAAGATATTAGATATTAAGACAATTTTGATTTATTAAATAATTGAAATTAGTACAAATTTTGCAATATCTCCGTCAATTTTGAAGATAAAAAAATGGTAGACCACATTTTGAAAATCTCAATACCAGGGGTTTTCGTTATTTGATGTTTAAGCTGGAATACTGTAAAAATTGTTTTCATGAAAAAAATGCTGCATGGATCGAAGACGATATTAAAGTCGTTAATGAATTCCCATGCTTATTGGGACACTGCAGTATAAACTGTCTTTATCTGTTGACTGGACTTGAGCTGTTCGCGATTCTATTAATTATTCCTTTACTTAGTGAGAGATGAATACGTAAAGGGAAAATCATAAAACTCTAGTAAAAGAAGACGACTGTTGCATTCACTTTATGATTTTAAATGTTCCATGAACATAAGAAACATTTGTGAAGAAAAAACACCTTTTCCGAATTATAAGCTAATTTTTAGGTTACTGCTCCAACTAAAAGCTTTTAAACGACATTAAATACAAGACTGCTTAAATGTCGGCCTCCTATTTCACAGTTTTATGGTAGCCACTGTATCTAACTCCTACTCTCATTTTGTTACTATCTATTGTATAAACTCTATGTTTACTGGGACCGGATTTAATGAATTTGAGCCAGGTCTAGAGACGGTTCCACCACGTATCTTGAATCAGGGATTCAGTATTTGTCCCTGTCCTATACATGATACCTACACTGCAGAAATACAAAAAAGTATTGGAATTGATTGGTATTTAATTCATTAAATCCTATCCCTGTTTAGTAATCTACTATTTCTATCCGTACCTGGTATTCCTGGTCTGAGAATGCCACGAACCCATGAGGAATATTTCTTGGAAGTTTACAAGTAATTTTGCTACAAATTGGAACCTAAACAAAGTTTAAACAATCTTCTTATATTTTTTGAATTGTTGAGGGAATAGAAAACACTCTTTAGATTTACATCCATTTAAAGAGTGCCATCATCCTATCAAACCAAAATCCTCTTGACCTTCTTGACTTTTCTTTTCTCGTTTGTTTTCCATAAAAATCCACGATTTTAAAGTTTTAAAGTTGCAATGTCGTACCCATTAAAAGGACTGTAAGCTTAATCCTAAGTGACCCTCCATGCAAAGATGGCAATGTCTGATTTACAACGGTACCCTTGAAAGCTTTGTCTGGTCAAGTATGAATTATAAATCAATGTTTTTGCTATTGAAACTGTTTATTTTCATTTGCGTTTCTCTCCGAAAGTGACTTGCGCGCATTTCTTGCTTTTAAGAAGCAATTAAGAAATTATCAGGACATAACCCTTTTCGAGTCAGAAAAATGGCGATATCTTCCAAAGTTTTGAATAGATTAAGGTTTTAAGGGTTCCGTTGTAAATGTTTGAATGGAGGGTCACTTGAAATCACGCTTACAGTCCCTATACGTTGACATTCCCGTTTTTATGTGTTCAACCACTGACCTGGCCGGACCAAGTTTTATTGTTGAGACAAGTTATTATTCTGGATCCTTGTAGTTTAAAACCTTGATTACAGCTGTAGGATACAGTTCCACCAACCGTTAGCTCATGGATATCCTGGATATAGAGTAATTTTAGATGTAGTTAGCTCATGGATATTCTGGATATAGAGAAATGTTAGATGTAGTTAGCTCATGGATATTCTGGATATAGAGTGAAGTTTCGATATAGTTAGCTCATGGATATTCTGGATATAGAGTGAAGGTTGGATATAGTTAGCTCATGGATATCCTGGATATAGAGTAAAGGTTGGATATAGTTAGCTCATGGATATCAAAGATATAGAGTAAAGTTTGGATATAGTTAGCTTATGTTTATCCTGGATATAGAGTGAAGGTTAGATATAGTTAGCTCATGCATATCCTGGAAATAGAGTAAAGGTTGGGTATAGTTAGCTCATGGATATCCTAGATATAGAGTAAAGTTTGGATATAGTTAGCTTATGGATATCCTGGATACAGAGTAAAGTTTAGATATAGTTAGCTCATGGATATCCTGGATATAGAGTAAAGTTTAGATATAGTTAGCTCATGGATATCCTGGATATAGAGTAAAGGTTGGATATAGTTAGCTTATGTTTATCCTGGATATAGAGAGTAGGTTGGATATAGTTAGCTCATGGATATCCTGGATATAGAGTAAAGGTTGGATATAGTTAGCTCATGGATATCCTGGATATAGAGTAAAGGTTGGATATAGTTAGCTCAATGATATCCTAGATATAGAGTAAAGGTTTTATATAGTTAGCTTATGTTTATCCTAGATATAAAGTAAAGGTTGGATATAGTTAGCTCATGGATATCCTGGATATAGAGTAAAGTTTAGATATAGTTAGCTCATGGATATCCTGGATATAGAGTAAAGGTTGGATATAGTTAGCTCATGGATATCCTGGATATAGAGTAAAGGTTGGATATAGTTAGCTCATGGATATCCTGGATATAGAATAAGTTTAGATATAGTTAGCTCATGGATATCCTAGCTATAGAGTAAAGGTTGGATATAGTTATCTTATGGATATCCTAGATACAGAGTAAAGGTTGGATATAGTTACCTAATGGATATCCTAGATATAAAGTATCATTGATATAGACTAAATGATAAAGGTTTGGTGAATTCGATGAATATATGTTATTCAAACGCAACGCCTGGCCCTTCAGCTAGTATATAATATAGTACAGTGGGAGCCAGAAAACAATTGAATTATCTTTGTCGTATTTTTCTTTTAATTTTGAAATATTGCAACTAAACTATTTATAAAAGAAGCCTGAGGTCTAACTTTTTGTGTGAAATGGTGGTAATCTACAACGCTTTATCTCGATATCCATTGTGAAAGAGATGGAGGTAAACTCCACAGGTTTACAATACAAAAGTTCTTACATTAGAACATACAAAGAAATTTACCAGTTAAAATTTAAAAACTCTATGTTCCATATTTTATTGGAAGAAAGAGCAAACACGTCATTTCTTAAACAGTTTTCTAGTTCCCATCCATTTCTCACCAAATATATATAAAATATATTTTTCTCTTTAGAAAAATGTTTTATTAGGATGTGAAGAAACAGTAATTTAAAATCCCAGCGGAAATTATCTAAGAAAATTAGGGTTAAATTGTCCATAGTATTTCAACAATTTGTTCATTAAGTAGTGGTACAGGGTTACACACAAAGGATGAAAACTTCAGAAACGACTGTTCGGAATTTCTTCAATTCTTTTAATTAAATTCACGACTCCTGCCAGTTGTAAACTGATTTCTTTCGTTGCAAAATCATTCAGTGGATATATCATTAGTAGACTTTATTTTAGGCAAAACCCTAAGTTTAACCCTTTAATTGATAGATTTAAAGAACGTTTTTAGTCGTCATTGATGTCTCATCCTTTGCGGGTAACCCTGTATTAAAGGGGGGGGGGGAGGCGGCACTACACGGTACTAATTGCCATATTCTTAAAAATAATTGTGGCATTCAAACGAGAACATAAGAATTATTGCAAAGTGTGTTCATTTTAGGACATTCCATATATTATCAGGTTTGAAAAAATAGTCTAAACACAAATATCCTATATTTTAGAAAGCTCATAGATAAGCCTTTCACACTTCTTATTTACTTTGTTTTTGAAAAGATATCTAAGATCAAATTAGATTTTGAATAAGTAGTTTTTAAAATGAATTTCATGTTTAGTGGGGCAACCTGTACCTGTTCTCCATGTAGTGGTAATCTAGGAGGGGACATTGTATCAGGATACTACCTGTTCTCCATGTAATTGTAATGGTATTCTAGGAGGAGGACACCGTATCAGGATACTACCTGTTCTCCATGTAGTGGTAATCTAAGAGGAGGACATTGTATCAGGATAATACCTGTTCTCCGTGTAGTGGTATTCTAGGAGGAGGACACTGTATCAGGATACACTCTGGTTCCTCTCCGACCCAGGATCCATCATCTCCACACTCACGTTCATTCCCTCCGGTCAGCTCATAGCCTAGGTTACAGTAGAACCGAACCTTACTCCGGAAGTGAAGATCATTAGGGTTGTAGTCAACCTTCCCGTGAGCAATATTGTGCGGTCTCTTACACTTGATGGGTTGGCACTCCGGAGTTGTCTTGGACCAGGTTTTGTTCCGGCGACATTTTCTAACTGAAGGTCCTATCAGTTCGAATCCCTGGTTGCATGTAAAGGTTAGCGCAGCTCCGCGATATGTTCCGTTGTGGATTATGTTTCCGTTTTCTATTGAACTCAATTTCGGGCAATACACAGGTTTACATTTAGGGATCGGAGCTGAGAGAACAAGATCAACCTGGCAGAGTATCTCCGACTCCCCGTAAACATTGTATCCTGGATCACACTCAACCTGAAGAATATCTCCAACAGCAAGTTCTCCTTCCTCCTCTCCAAGCTTTTCAAGACCAACCACTCTGGTTCCCTGGGCCCAGAGAGACTTTCTGAACCTGCTGGGTTGGATTCTCCACTCTCCGTGTCTAATTCTAGCCTGGAACGTACATGTGGCCGGGATGCAGATTGGAAGCTCAGATTCCCACCTTCCTTGGGAATCACATTTAACAAACCCGGAACCTTTCAATACATATCCTGGTTCACATTGAAACCTTACACTTTCTCCAACCCTAGTTTTTCGTCTTGGATAGATCATTTTTGAGATATTTTCAATATCCGGACAGTAGGATAGAACACACTTGGGTTTATCATGACTCCAGGTACCATCACTTCTACAATCCAACCTGGAGTGACCTTTTAGTTCAAAAATATCTCTGCACTTGAATTCTGCAATGTAGGATCCTCGTGAAGGAGCCAGAGTAACCTCTCCATGGTCAAGTTCTAGAAGGGTTGGACAAGCTCTCCGGGAGCAGATTGGAACGGTACCCTTCCATCTTCCATCTAGATCACAATCCAGGAATGAATCTATGATCTTAGTGTATCCGTTATCACAGGAGAACCGGACCTCTAAGGACTGACTGATGTTCTTGGTTCCAAAGATAACTCCGTTCTCAAGCTTAAATACGTCCTTGCACTGATGTATCCTACAGGTTGGGGGATCTAGGTTCCACTCTCCATTGGGTAAACATGTGGTCAGGTTGGATCCAACCATCTTATATCCTGGTCTACAGTTCCAACGTAGTTTGGTCCCAACCTCATATTCCTCCTGCTCCAGGTCTAGTAAACTAGCCTGAGTACTGGATAGATCAAGAGTACAGGTTGCAGGGATACATCTAGGAATATCTCCCTCCCATTCTCCAAAACTGTTGCATGTAATATTATTTGCACCCTGGAGAATATATCCAATATCACATTTAAACCTTGCTTTTTCTCCAGGTACTCTCAGCTCTATAGTATAAACTCCGTTGGGAATTGGTGTCAGCTCCGAACAAGTAATGGAAGCACAGTAAGGGTTACTTCCACTCCAATCCCCGCTCAAATCGCATTTTCTCACCCTAGGGCCTAGGAGAGTATATCCAGGGTTGCATTCATATACAATAGAATCATCAAATCTTCTGGCGGAGCCCTTCATCAATCCATTCAATACTTGATCAGGTTCGGAGCAGATTATTGGAACACAAACCGGGATGGGTTTACTCCAGGTTCCAGTTTCTAAACAGTAAATAGAATCCGCTCCATGTAATATATATCCACTGTTGCAGGAGAACTGAAGAACAGATCCATGTTCATATATCCGACCCACCACACTTCCATGCTGTATACTCTGTACTGGTGAACAGTACCTGGGATTACAGACGGGTTGGTTCCCACTCCAGGTACCATTCTCTATACACATTCTCTCCGATTCTCCAACCAGCTCATGATCATCATTGCAATCATACCAAACTAGGGAACCAACCTCCAGATTCCCGTCGAATGCAATATATCCTGAGTTGAGTAACTGAGGAACTAAACAGGTTTGTGAGGTATTAACACAAGCTGGTAACTGTCCAGACCATTCTCCGAGATGACCGCAAACCCGTTCTCCTCCGCCTAGGAGTTTAAACCCAGGTTCACACCTGTATATGATCACGGATCCGTACTCAAGAGAAAACCAATCCTCAATCCAACCATTAGGAATATCCTTTGGTTCCGGACACATCCGGGGAACACAGCTTGGTTCCGTTCCAGACCATTCTCCGGTCTCAAGACAGGTTCTGGTTGCATCTCCGACTAGGTAATATCCATCATCGCAATCATATTTGAGATATTGTCTAAACTTGAACCCGTCCACAGTTATCCGACCGTTGGATAAAGATTGTACATTTGAGCAGATAACCTCCTGGCAGATTGGAAACTTACTCTCCCATTCATTTTCGTTCTGACAAAGGTTGGTTGAAGAACCTATAATCTGGTATCCAGCAGAGCAATCGAACCAGAGTTCAGAACCGACAGGATAGAATACAGTGTTCTTATCATTAGGCTCAAGTCTAAGAGGTTTAGAACCTGAACAAGGGATAAGGATGGGATCACTTTCCCCCTTCCGCTTCTCTATGCTATCCCTGAGATATGAAACTGATGCTTCAGGTAAAGGTTCTTTACTCCAGGTTCCAATGATCAAGGTTCCATTGGGGAGAGCTGCAGGGCCGGGGCACAATGCCGGGACACATCGCGGAGTAGATCCGGACCATGATCCGTTCTGATCACAGACTAGAGGAGTATCCTGGATAAGGTTGTGCCCGGGCAGGCAGGAGAACATAGCAGTTTCTCCGGAACTATAGGTTTCATTCTTCTCCAGGTATCCCAGGGGGATAGGGACAGGGGGATCACATTGGATAGGAACACACCTGCAGATCAAATAAAGGATTTGATCACTTAAACTTTCTAATCCGTTTATCTTTTCAACCAGACAGAATGCATAGTTCAAAATATCAAAGATCTTCGACGTCAGGTTGCAAACATAAAAGTAGTAGAAAATTTGAGTTTGAGGCGAGTAATCAGTTTCTTAATTTTAACTAACTACATTTTAAAACTGTATTTTTCTTTGGCAGTGAGCAACAAAAGTCAGATTAATTATTGTATCAAATTGGTTTTAAAATTGTCCCCGTTCCAAACAGGGTTCTATACAGAAAGTTAAACGTGAAAGTTTGAAAAATTATCAAGTATTTGTTTAAGTAAACACAATAATTACAACGTTCATTAACTATTATAAAAATGTTTGGAGAGAAATCAAGTATTTTTTTTATCAATGCTTCCAAGAATTTTAAAAAGCAAAGACACATAAATATTGTCTTGAGCAAAAATCAAGTTGACGGAAATAATTAATATTTGAGATTTTTAAACCCAAGAAAATCATCGTTTATTAGAATTACAAAGGAAAAAGGTGTCTTACTCTGGTTCTCTCCTGCTCCAGAGTCCACTAGACGTACACTGTCGTTCCTCTGAACCTCGGAGAGAGTATCCATCCTTGCAGGAGTACTTAGCCGTGTTCTTATAGGTGGTGGAAACATACTGGACCGAACCTTCTTGAACCGGCTCCAGGTCCCCACAATCCACTGGAACACAGGTTGGAGGAGGTGGTTCCCACACCCCTATCCTGGTACAAGTAGAGTTCAGGGATCCCAGCAGGTAGTGTCCCTTCTTACACTTGTAGATCACCATTTCTCCGAACCTGGTTCCGTCGAACCAGGTTTTACCGTTGGGAACATTCTCCGGGGTGCTGCAGAGCACTGGTTCACATTTAGGAACTGGTTTAATCCACTGCCCCCTGGATCCACACAGCACACTATCAGTATCTGATATCTCATACCCTGATATTTAAAACATTCTACAATTACTGTTAACATGATGAACAAATATTCATATATTTTTCAACACGAAGAAATTGAAATAAGTGTTCTTGTAAAAAACTCAAATTTTCTAATCTTTATATCTTTGCAACGTAATGGTGTAAACTTTTTATATCTAAAAAATCTACAACATCTGGTTGCAAAGGTAACTGGATTTAAAAATTTGAGTTTGAAGCAAAATTTATGTTCCTTTATGTTCCAAATTAAGCGGATTTAAAACATAAACATCTTTAAATTTGAAGGTTTTCCGATGAATCAAGAAAATCTGAAAACCTTTTAAAGGGACTATAAGCGTAATTTCTAGTGACCCTCCATGCAACGACGGCAATGGTCGATTCACATAAGTATCCTTGAAACTTTAATCTGATAAAAAATGTGGAAGATGCCATCGTTTTTCTGACCAGAAAAGTGTTTAGTCCTGATAATTTCTTAATTGCTTCTTAAAAACAAGAAATGCGCAAGTCACTTTCGCATAGCAACGCAAATGAAAATAACAAAAACATTGATTTATAATTCATACTTGACCAGACAAAGCTTTCATGGGTACCGTTGTAAATCAGGCATTGCCATCTTTGCATCTGCATTTTAAAACTTTAAAATCGTGGATTTTTATGGAAAAAAAACGAGAAAAGAAAAGTCAAGAAGGTCAAGAGGATTTTGGATGTCAATCCAAAGAGTGTTTTCTATTCCTTCAACAATCAAAAAAAAATATAAGATTGTTTAAACTTTGTTCAGGTTCCAATTTGTAGCAAAATTACTTGTAAACTTCCAAGAAATATTTCTCATGGGTTCGTGGCATTCTCAGACTCAAGTGTTGATGAGCTTCTCCATTGCTTCTTATTAAAAACAAGAAATGCGCAAGTTACTGTCAAGGGTACCGTTATAAGTCCGGCATTGCCATCTTTGCATGGAGGGTTACTTGAAATTACGGATTCAGTCCCTTCCTCTTGCTTCTTGCTACTATAAGAACTATGTTTTATAAAACTACCTGGATCGCAGTTGAATGTCAGAACTGTTCCTTGCTTTATAGTATCCGGTGTTCCACCAGCTATATAACCATTTGGAACACTAAACATTAGAAACACTAAACATTAGGAACAAAAAAAAATTAGGAACAATAAACATTAGGAACAGTAAACAGTTGGAACACTAAACCTTAGGAACACTAAACAGTTTGAACACTAAACATTAGAAACACTAAACATTGGGAGTACTAAGGTAAACATTAGGAACACTAAACATTGGAACACTAAACATTAGGAACACTAAACATTAGAAACACTAAAATTAGGAACACTTTACAGTTGGAACACTAAACATTAGGTACACTAAACATTAGGAACACTAAACAATTGGAACACTAAACATTCGGAACATTAAACAGTTGGTACACTAAATATTAGAAACACTAAACATTGGGAACACTAAGCTAAACATTAGGAACACCAAAAATTGGAACACTAAACATTAGGAACACCAAACATTGGAACACTAAACACTAGGAACACTAAACATTTGAAACACTAAACATTTGAAACACTAAAAATTAGGAACACTTTACAGTTGGAACACTAAACAGTTGGAACGGAAGACTAAACATTAGGAACAATAAACATTAGGAACACTAAATAGGTGAAACACTGAATAGTTGGAACACTAAATAGTTCGTTAATGAAAAAAAGGATAAGTAAAGGTTTTTGCAACACTAAACAGTTAGGAAAATAACAAGTTTGTTTAAATTTTCAGGAACACTTTTTATAGTTCCAAAACTTACATTGGAGGCTGTGTGCAAGGAACAGGTTGACAAATCGGAGGCAGATCACTCCAGGTCCCATCCTCCATACAGTCCAGTCGATCCAACCCATCCAGGTAAAATCCAGGATCGCAGGAGAACACGATCTTGTCGCCGATCCTTGCTGTGGAGTTGAGTTTATCCTGAGTTCTGATATTGAACTGACCGTGCGGAAATATTTCGGGAAATGAACATCGGATTTCTAGAAAACATTTTAATGTAAATGTAAATATAATGCAGAAATCTAAAGAAACAAATTTTAAAATCAATTAATGACTATGTATCAAAGTGATTAAATGCTAAAGTGGGCCAAACTCATAGTTGAATGACGGCATTTTATGTCCCAAGTATTTGAAAATAATATATATATATATAAATTGGTCTGTATGGAGTGCACAGTACAACAGAAACTGGACACCCTTTGTTTACAAACACATACTAGAATTTGTATTTAACTTAAATATAGATTAACGTAAATTAAGATTTCAGAAGTGAATTTTAGCCAGTTTTCTGCAAAATAAATAATTTCATACAGCACAATAATGCCTGCATGCATAATCTGTAAAACAAGGAATGCACAATTTGCGATCTTCGAAATATATCTCTTGGTCTTCACTTTTGTATTTTGACAGATTTAAGGGTGGTTGAGAACTAGACATAGTTTTAAAGATATTAAGAGAGGCGTATTCAGGTTTTTTTTCTTAGGAAGGGCTTTCTTTCTTTTTCTTTTTAGGGGGGGAGGATAACCCCCCCTCCACAAAAAAAAAAGCATATATTTCACTGATCCAGGAAGGTAATGAGCCCACGTAGCCACCCCTGAATACGCCTCTGGATAATAACATAGATGTGTTTAAGAAATTTACAAACATATTTCGGAATGGAGTGAGATTTGAAAGAACAAAACTAAGCAGTTTTTAAGATAAATTCCTATAGAATTAGAAGTGCCAGGCAAAATCAATGAATTGATTAAGCGACTATATAGTATTTACATACAAACATACAAAATTTTTTGATTTTTATTTATGAAAATTTTTAAGTTCTAAATGAAGACGACATTTACATGGTCTTTAGTTTATTTTTTCTAGTTTTTACTTTCCAAAAGAAATCTTTTCAGACAATTATTTCCAAACCAAATAAAACCTTATGGCCCAACCTGTCGTCGTTGCCTTAGTCTGTTCCACTTTACTATTTTTATTCACTTTGCTATGTATATTGTATGGGAAAATATTGGGAATTGGGATAGTTCCAATTTATTAGGTTTCTACAGTCTGAAGAAATACCAGCATTAGTATTCAGAACCTGGCACAGGGTTAATCGAGGAGAGGAAGCCCAGCCACCACTAAATGCTCATCCTTCTCATATTATTTTTTTCAAGTGTTCAATCCTTGACAAAAAGTTTTTTCTTAATCTGGCCACGTCAGAGCAGTAATGAAATATTGAATTTGTGCAAATCGAAAAAAAATTGTTTCAATTAAAGTAAATTGTTCTTAAATCTGTTCACTTTTTTTACGGGCATTTTTAGATATTCCTAGTATAGAATGCATCAAATTATTCCGAGTTGATAAAACTTCAATATTTTTTTTTAATTATATCGGAAACGATAGATTTGGTCCAGGTGGTTACATGGAAACATATTATATGCCCTCTAAAAATAGTTACACTTTAAAAATATAATAATGAAAGGACGAGAATTTCGAGGTGTCTGGAACGAGAAAATGAGGAGAATGTGGCTCGAACGAGAAATTGTTGTGGCTGACCCTTTCCCCTCGTTGATCTCTATTAATAGACTCTATAAACTTATATTACAACGTTTAATCAACATATATCTAGTACTTAATAAAAGAAAAAATATAAAGTAGAAAATTATTGTTGCAAAATCAAGAATAAATAGAAAAGGATATAAAAACAAAACTGAAATTAATAAAATACAAGGGAAGATCAGAAAGTAAATTAAATATCATAATTTTGCATTATATATTATAATTTAGTTTCTATGGGAGCCATGTTAGGATAGGTCCAATTTATTTAGTTTTTCCAACGTCTGAATGAATGCAAGGCTGCAAGCATAGACTTTATAAACTTATAATATCATGTTCAATCATCAAATATCTATCTTTTCTGTAGAAATAGTATGGCGGTAACATCTATCTTTCTATCTATCTCATTATCCAATTAGAGTTATGGATCCTTTAATCGGCGCTTTCAGTAAATGGAAATATTTACTTCTTCTGAAACTATAGTGATGGGAAACATGGGAAACATCTATTTGATGTCACAGTCTCAAGAAATGCAAGCATTAGTATTCTGAACCCTACACTGGTATGATCCTTTATATTGTCTATAAACTTATATCACCACGTTCAGTAATCATATATTTAGTACATGGTCACCCAAAAACAAAGAAATTGCAAAGACGACAGTAACAAATTAATTTCAAATAGTTATAGTATGTCATGGCTTTCTTTTGCCTGTCATTTATTAGTATTGTATCTCTAAAAATGTGTAGTGTATTTATGGAAAAAATATAGCAAGCTGGATTTATGAACAAAATATACACTGGCTGGATCTATGGACGAAATTAAGACTGGCTGGATTTATGGACAAAATAAAGACTGGATGGATTTATGAACAAAATAAAGACTGGCTGGATTTATGAACAAAATAAAGTCTGGCTGGATTTATGGACAAAAAATAGGCTCGTTGGTTTTATGGACAAAATAAAAACTGGCTGGATTTACGGACAGAACAAAGGCTGGCTGGATTTACGGACAAAATAAAGATTAGCTTGATTTACGGACAAAATAAAGATTGGCTGGATTTATGAACAAAAAATAGGCTCGTTGGTTTTATGGACAAAATAAAGGCTGGCTGGATTTATGGACAAAATAAAGACTGGCTGGATTTATGGACAAAATAAAGACTGGCTGGATTTACGGACAAAATAAAGGCTGGCTGGATTTATGGACCAAATATAGACTGGCTGGATTTATGGACAAAATAAAGACTGGCTGGATTTATGGACAAAAAATAGGCTCGTTGGTTTTATGGACAAAAATAAAGGCTGGCTGGATTTATGGACAAAATAAAGACTGGCTGGATTTATGGACAAAATAAAGGCTGGCTGGATTTATGGACAAAATAAAGACTGGCTGGATTTATGTACAAAAAAAGGCTCGTTGGTTTTATGGACAAAATAAAGGCTGGCTGGAGTTATGGACAAAATAAAGACAGGCTGGATTTATGGACAAAATAAAGGCTGGCTGGATTTATGGACAAAATAAAGGCTGGCTGGATTTAAGGACAAAATATAGACTGGCTGGATTTATGGACAAAATAAAGGCTGGCGGGATTTATGGACAAAATAAAGACTGGCTGGATTTATGAACAAATTAAAGACTGGTTGGATTTATGGACAAAATAAAGGCTGGCTGGATTTATGAACAAAATGAAGACTGGCTGGATTTATGGACAAAATAAAGGCTGGCTGGATTTATGAACAAAATAAAGGCTGGCTGGATTTATGGACAAAATAAAGACTGACTGAATTTATGGACAAAATAAAGACTGACTGGATTTATGGACAAAATAAAGATTGGCTGGATTTATGGACAAAATAAAGATTGGCTGGATTTATGGACAAAATAAAGATTGGCTGGATTTACCCACCTTGACATTTTGGTTTATTAGATGACCAGGAACCATTTCCTAAACAGGTCTGATACAAGGGTCCAGATAATCTAAACATAATCTTTATCTTTACTGTTTCCTAAACAGGTCTGATACAAGGTTTCAGATAATCTAAACATAATCTTTATCTTTGCTATTTCCTAAACAGGTCTGATACAAGGCTCCAGAAAAACTAAACATAATCTTTATCTTTACTGTTTCCTAAACAGGTCTGATACAAGGCTTCAGATAAACTAAACATAATCTTTATCTTTACTGTTTCCTAAACAGGTCTGATACAAAGGTCCAGATAATCTAAACATAATTTTTATCTTTACTGTTTCCTAAACAGGTCTGATACAAGGCTCTAGATAAACTAAACATAATCTTTATCTTTGCTGTTTCCTAAACAGGTCTGATACAAGGGTCCATAAAATCTAAGCATAATCTTAATCTTTACTGCTTCTTAAACAGGTCTGATACAAGGCTCCAGATAAACTAAACATAATCTTTATCTTTACTGTTTCCTAAACAGGTCTGATACAAGGCTCCAGATAATCTAAACATAATCTTTATCTTTGCTGTTTCCTAAACAGGTCTGATACAAGGGTTCATATAATCTAAACATAATCTTTATCTTTACTGTTTTCTAAACATGTCTGATATAAGGGTCCAGATAATCTAAACATAATCTTTATCTTTGCTGTTTTCTAAACAGGGCTGATACAAGGCTCCAGATAATCTAAACATAATCTTTATCAAAGCTGCTGTCTTCAGTGCTATCGACATCATCACTGTAATTGTTATTTTTACTGTCGTTTTTCATTATTGTCTCCGTAATCGTTTTCCGCCTGATGTGCAACATCTATCGTCTACTGCCTAATATCTATCATATATCAACTATCATCTATCCTCTATCATCAATCGTCTATCATCTATCGTCTATCATCAATCATCTATCATCTATCATCAATCGTTTATCATCATCGATTGTCTATCATCTATTGTCTTTCAACTATTGTCTGTCAACTATTGTCTATTGTCTATCATCAATCATCTATCAACTATTGTCTATCATTTATCTTCTATCATCTATCGTCTATCATCTCTCGATCAAATATTGTCTATCGTTTATCATTTATCGTATATCATCTAGCGTCAATCATCTATCCTCTATTATTTATCATCTATTGTCTATCATATATCAACTATCCTCCATCATCTATCGTCTATCATCTATTGTCTTTTCACTGTCGTCTGTTGTCTATGGTCTATTGTTTATTGTTAATAGTCTTTGATTATCATTATCTTTTTCATCTATTTAAATGATCATCATCAACGTTAGGATTATGAATAATCATCATCATCATCATCATCATCATGAATAAATGTTGTAACCTGTATCCTGTATCGCATGATGAATAAATGTTGTAACCTGTATCCTGTATCGCATGATGAATAAATGTTGTAACCTGTATCCTGTATCGCATGATGAATAAGTGTTGTAACCTGTATCTTGTATAGCATGATGAATAAATGTTGTAACCTGTATCTTGTATCGCATGATGAATAAATGTTGTAACTGGATCCTGTATAGCATGATGAATAAATGTTGTAACCTGTATCCTGTATCGCATGAGAATGAAACGACATCTCTGAAAAGATAAGAGTTCCCTGTAACAGCTCCATTGTGCAGATAACCAGGAAATCCACAGTTTATCACTGAAAATAATTCATAAATACACTTTTAAAGGGACTGTCAACGTAATTTTAAGTGAACCACTATTTAAAGACTTTATTATCTTCCTCGTTGTTGCACAGATAAAGTCTTTTATCTTTAAATGGAGGTCATATGTAATTCCTTTAATATCACATGTTATCATCTAAACTCTGATTAATTAATTAGTGTTCAAAACATTTAAACTCAGACTAGGAATTAGTGTTTACAAAGCAAGAAAAACCAATTAAACTGTCCAACCAAACTTACATCTGCAATTTGGTAGATCAGTGTCCCATTCTCCGAATATATTACAGGATATCTCCTCTGAACCCTCAAGATAGTACCCGTTCTCACATCCTAGTACTCCAGTAGACAGAGGACCACTTCCTACAACATAATATACATATTATTCTTACTAGGGGCTAGCCACAACAATTTTCAGTCCGAGCCACATTCTCCTCATTTTCTCGTCCGAGCCACCTCGAAATCCTCATCCTTCCGATAAGTGTCTTATCCTCAAAGATAAAACTATTTTTTTAGAATAGGGGCACGTTAGGGCATAAATGAAATATTAAACCTTTGTAAATCAAATTAAAGTTTTCGAGTTCAATGTCCTTAAAAAGTTCACCTTTTTACGCGCATTTTCAGATATTCCTGGTGTACAATGCCGCAAAAAATTCCGAGTTTAGATAACTTTAATCTTTTTTGGTAATTATAGTGAAAACCATAGAATTTCTTCAGTTGGTTCCATGGGAAAAATGATAGGCAGAGGTATGCATAATATTTTACTTTTGATTTTATATCGGGAAGGTTTGCCATTACGGAGGCAGAAGAGATTTAAGTTTTACTAAAATGAAGTTTGACATCATTGTCATTGCTTTAAAGATTCCAACATGATGTAATCATTGCAATACTTTAGTCTATTCATAATTGATGCCAGATTTTTGAAAAATAGTTTTATCTTCAAAAATTATAAACTTTACAATACATAATAATCGAAGGACGAAGATTTCGAAGCAGATCTGACGAAAAAATGAGAAGAATGTGGCTTGGACAGGAAATTGCTGTGGCTTGCCGTCCTCCCCTCGGCACTGTCCACTAATGCCCACCATTTCTTCGGTCATTGTACTACACAGATCACTACAGTACGCACCGTAAGCTTAGTTTGGAGTGAGTAAAATTCATCCAGTGAATTTCTCTATTTTTCCAGAGATCGGTAGTGACACTGTACCCTAGTATACGATGTACTCTAAAAGTTCCATGTTCTATATTCTTGTTTACCATGTACTCTGAGAGTGACATGTTCCATAATCTCTATAGTATACTTTGTATTTAAAGTTTTATATATTTTATGTTTTATATTCTCCGATATACTTTGTACCCTGAGAGTTCTATATTCTCCGATATACTTTGTACCCTGAGAGTTCTATATTCTCCGATATTCTTTGTACCCTGAGAGTTCTATATTCTCTAGTATACTGTTAAACCTTAGGTCTAATTAAATGATACATGGTGGGGGTTGAAAAATGTTTATTGGTAAAAACTTGTTACGGAATATATAGGAGCGTATTTACTGTGTAGTCAGTTTCTGTGGGGGGATTTAGGGAGCTTCTCAACTGCTGGAACTGATGAGTCTTCAGAACAGGGAGCAGTCTCGAGCAGAACCGTAGAATGCTGCTTCTGTAGGGAACTGCTTTAAGCTGTAGGTGTAGATGAACCTTTAGAGCTGTCTGGAGTAGAACTGTAGAATGCTGCTTCTGTAGGGAACTGCTTTAAGCTGTAGGTGTAGACGAACCTTTAGAGATGTCTGGAGCAGAACCGTAGAAGGTTGCTTCTGAAGGGAGCTGCTAGAAGCTGCAGGTGTAGACGGACTTTCTGGTTCGGGACTTGGTCCGAAAATGATAACTATATTCTGATTTTAGAATATCAATAAAATCCCCTTTTGATGGTACAGAGTTGGTTTAGAACTCCGGAGCTGCTCGAAGATTAGCTACAACTGATAACATCATCTTTCCAAGATTTCAACGTTAGGCTTAAGGCGTAACCTTAACCTTGAGTCTATACTTAAAAATACACAGTGCTCACAGGATGTTCACAAAAAATACAAACATATAAATACATTTTAACTATTCATAAAAGCACAAATATCAATTCTTAAAGAATCTGTTACATTCGTTTGTGAATTTTACAAAAAAAAGGAGTTTTAGTTTATGTAAACACCCAGCAGGGTTCCCATATACAGAAATAATTGATTCCAACCATGATCTGACATTCTTTGTTAAAAATACGCACTTTGAACTCCGTTACAATACCTTGTACCCTAAGAGTTCCATATTCTCTAGTATACCTTGCACCCTAAGAGTTCTATATTCTCTAGTATACCTTATATCCTAAGAGTTCTATATTCTCTAGTATACCTTGTACCCTGAAAGGTCTATATTCTCTAGTATACCTTGTACCCTGAGAGTTCTATATTCTCTAGTATACCTTGTACCCCGAGAGTTCTATATTCTCTAGTATACCTTTTATCCTGAGAGTTCTATATTCTCTACTATACCTTGTACCCTAAGAGTTCTATATTCTCTAGTATACCTTTTATCCTGAGAGTTCTATATTCTCTAGTATACCTTTTATCCTGAGAGTTCTATATTCTCTAGTATACCTTGTACCCTGAGAGTTCTATATTCTCTAGTATACCTTGTATCCTGAGAGTTCTATATTCTCTAGTAAACCTTGTACCCTAAGAGTTCTATATTCTCTAGTATACCTTGTACCCTGAGAGTTCTATTTTCTCTAGTATACCTTGTACCCTGAGAGTTCTATATTCTCTAGTATACTTTGTATCCTGAGAGTTCTATATTCTCTAGTATACCTTGTACCCTGAGAGTTCTATATTTTCTAGTATACCTTGTACCCTGAGAGTTCTATATTCTCTAGTATGCCTTGTACCCTGAGAGTTATTCTCTAGTATACCTTGTATACTGAGAGTTCAATACTCTCTGGTATACCTTGTACCCTGAGAGTTCCGTGTTCTATATTCTCCAGGTTTGGACAACTCTGACAGAGCTCAGAATCAGAAATTCTAAAAATCAAAACCATAAAGTTTAGATCAACAATTTATCTTTAATAAGAATCCAAAATAAAAATATAAAACTAGAATTTCAACGTGGTTTAAAACTAAAATTTAAAAATATTTTTCAATTTTTTCTTAATAATTACAAAGAATTAAACGTTTTGAATAAGTCCAAATCTGACAAGAGACTTCAACGAAATCTCCCAAAACTAGTATCAAATATTTATTATGTTAGATTTGTAACTTTGTAAGAGAAAAATTTAAATTCTTGTTACCTAATCTCTCCCCTTAGTCCTCTGTACATATCTGACCAGGATATTACATCTCCATAATATGGTTCACATGCAACTCTGAGAAATAGACGATGATTACAAGTATGTACTTTTTAAACACTTTTTTTTAGGGGAAAACAGTTTGAGACTTTTATTTGGCATACATAAGTATTATTTTTGGTTCATTGGTAAATCTTTCAACTAAATTAAAGAAAGTGTTTGCGAAAAATGAAAGTGCACATTTTGAACCATTTGCTCCTCTTAGACGCTACAAATAAAAACCAGATGTGATCGAATCCGAATTTGATCCAGCCTCCTTACATTTTTCGCGAACACTACTTTTCAACCATGCTAGTTGTCCAATTAAATCAATGTTTATTAGGAAAAAAATACATTTTCCATAATTTTCTATCAGGAGTTTTAAAGATCGCAATGTTTTACGATATGAAAATAAATGTTTTAAAAGGACTGTAACCATAACCCTCAAGGCACAAATGGTAATGCCCGATTCACCACGGGACCCTTGAAACCTTTATCTGATGAATAATGTCGAAGAGAGTAGTTTCACTTGGTTTGACATTGTTTAATTCCTACATGTTTTCCTGTAGTAAAAATGCGCAAGCACCTCTATAGAGAAACAACAATTGAAATAATTAGCCAAAGGTTTTAAGAGTAGTACCGATGTGAATCAGACATCTTTGCATGGAGGGTTACTTGGAGTCCCTTTAATATATAAACCTGAGATTTTGTATTTCATCTTGAGAGAGAGCCCTAGACCAAAGATCCAGCCGTGTAATTGAACCCCTTTAAAAATTTTAATATTCACATAAATATTGAATATTGTTTTCCTGACAAGTATAAAAATAAAAGTTGCAATCGTTGCAATCTTTAAACTCTATAAAGCCTGGAGGGTCTGAATCTATGTATAGCCTGAGGGGGGGGCATTCGGCGCCCCCCCCCCCCTAGAAAAAGGCTTTAGAGACTAGGTATAGGGTTGAAATGTATGTTCATAGCCTAATTTTTCATGGCCTGCTGAAAGAAAGGGAGGGTGAAAAAAAATGCCTAAAAAAGGGTAAAAAAATGAAGAAAAAAAATAATTTTTTTGTTTTAAACATATATCAAAGTATTACACATGTTTCTACATGCATTTTTCAAGAGATTTTCAAAAATATAGTTTTTAGATCTGTAGCTTTAGTCACAGAAAAGTGATGGGCTATTTTAGATTTTTAGACCGGACTTTTTCCGTCCTTTACCCTACCCTATAAATTAAAAAAAAAAATATTAACAAAAAATCCTTTAAATTACTATACATTAAAAGTCACAAAATTTGGTGTCAAAAATGAGTGTTAGGACAAAAAAAGCTACAGAGGGGGGCGCCAAACGACTTTTGGTTAAAGCCAGTTGCACCATTCAGAGATGAGTAAGTTGAAAAATCTCTTATCAGTTTACGGTAAGAATTTATTTGAGCTGAGTATAAAATTTCATAATACTTTGATAGAATTAAGAATGATAGGAATAGCTAACACGTTTTTATCAAGACGTTTAACATACTTTAAGTTGGATTTTTTAAAGAAGCTACTATCATTTTGTTACGAGATCGAGAGACGACGATTTTTCATGTTTAGATATTAAATAAAACCTGAAGGATTCCGCAGCACTGAAATCATCCCCACGTTCATCCTGCTCCTGACCAATAACAACCAAGCCGCCATCTTGAAAATTTAAATAATACAATAACAAACAGGCCGTCATTTTAAAAATTTAAATAATTCAAAAACAACCAAGTCGCCATCTTTAAAATTTAAATAATACAATAACAACCAGTCCACCATCTTAAAAATTTAGATAATACAATAACAACCAGTCCACCATCTTGAAAATTTAAATTATACAATAACAACCAGGCCGCCATTTTGAAAATTTAAATCATACAATAACAACCAGGCCGACATTTTGAAAATTTAAATAATACAATAACAACCAGGCCGCCATTTTGAAAATTTAAATTTTTGTAATTAAGGAAAGAAATTATTAGTTTATTAGCCTTTTCAATATGCAGGAAATAGATAAAACTGGAAAAATCATCACTTTACGTCGAAAAAATGTTTGTCAATGATGTAAGCACAAAATTAGAGTACAAGCCATTCAAATCTGGACATAATATAAAAATTTTCAGAATAAGTTTTATAAAAATCGAAAGGAAGGAACTAAGTTCTCACAAACTCTAATTTTCTAATCCTTATTATCATTGAAACCTGATGTCGTAAAACTTAAATATTTCAAGTTTTGATTATTGGGTCTAGCAAACATCAAAGTTAGAAGCATCAATTATCAAGTTGCAAAAAAAAGAATTAGACAATTAGTTGTTCCTAATTCAATTCTTGTCATTTTTATTTTTTATACTAAGAACCCTTTCTGTTATATTCTTACCTTCTATAAACGTTCCTTTAGCCAATCCTTCCCCTGTATCTTGCAGTACACCATCCTTGTACACCATCCAGATGCCTAGACATATGTACGGTACAATATGTGCCCTGTATCCTGTACACCACCCTTGTACACCATCCAGCTACCTAGACATATTTACGGTACAATATGTGCCCTGTATCCTGTACACCATCCTTGTACACCATCCAGCTACCTAGAAATATGTACAGTACAATATATCCCTCGTATCTTGTACACCATCCTTGTACACCATCCAGCTACCTAGACATATTTACGGTACAATATGTGCCCTGTATCCTGTACACCATCCTTGTACACCATCCAGCTACCTAGAAATATGTACAGTACAATATATCCCTCGTATCTTGTACACCATCCTTGTACACCATCCAGCTACCTAGACATATGTACAGTAAAATATATCCCCTGTATCTTGCAGTACACCATCCTTGTACACCATCCAACAACCTTGACATATGTACAGTACAATATATCCCCTGTATCCTGTACACCATCCTTGTACACCATCCAGCTACCTAGATATATGTACAATACAATATATCCCCTGTATCCTGTACACCATCCTTTTACATCATCCAACTGCCTAGACATATGTAAAACACAATATATTCCCTGTATCTTGTACACCATCATTGTATACTACCCAACTACCTAGAAATATGTACAGTACAATATATCCCCTGTATCTTGTACACCATCATTGTACACTACCCAACTACCTAGAAATATGTACAGTACAATATATCCTCTGAATCCTGTACACCATCCTAGCTTTTGCACCATCCTTGTACATTATTCATCTAGCTAGAAATATGTATAATTATATTGTATATTGCATTTGCGTCTACCATAAGCCTTGGTACACCTTGCTTGTACAATGTATTGTACATCTCATATTACTCTATGGTGCATCTCATGCAACTACTATGTACCAAAAATATAAAAATTCAATCTTAATTAACTTTACCTAGATAATGCAAGATCTAAACAATAAAAGAATAATAATCTAGCATCATAAACCATAGAAAATACAGATAGGAGAGAGAGAGAGAGTGAGAGAGTGAGAGAGTTGTTGTAAATCTGTAAATCTGTAAATCTTTTCTTAACAGTCTTTTAGCTTTAGACTTTCACAAAATTATATTTTCTAATCTAGATATAGAGATTAAAAAACAAAGTGTGTGGCAAAGGCTCAATTCTTTTGATCTAGAAATTGGAACTTTTGCACTGATAATACCTTGAGAAAGCAAAAATCCTTAGTTTAATGACATTTCGGATTAAATCATTCCTTTCAGATCTCTGGATCAAAACTTTGTGTGATGAATCTCGGGATCAAGGATTAATCTCCAGCTTATGTAGATCTACGGATTAATTTAATAACTGTAACGAAAGGATCAAAGAATTTATCTTCAAATTTTAAAGTGCCCAATTTGAATATCGAGCTCAAACGCTCAAGATTAACGATACTCCATACAAAAGTTCCGACTCCTGTAAAGATTCTGGAAACAAACTGTAGGTAGAAGCCACAAAACAGCCACAGCCTAAAGAGCTCATCTTGCGGCCAATGAGTGATTGAGAAAATAGGATTCAGATGTTTCAAATTCAAACCGTGTTGGATATTATTAATGAACATTACATTAATGCGTTGCTACTTTTTCCTTTTTTAGTTAAATATTTTAAGTGGTCACCCCCTTTTTATTACGTTAATGGGACTGTGCGCGTGATTTTACGTGACCCTCCGTGCAAAGTTAGCAATGTCCGATTAGCAAAACTTTTATCTGATCAAAAATGTGAAAGATAATGTAATTTTTCTGACTCGAAAAGTGTTCATTTCTGTAAATTTCTCCATTGCTTCTTATAAGCAAGAAATGGGCATGTCACTTTTGCAGAGAAACCACAAACGAAAATAAACAGTTAAAATAAATAGTTGAAATAAACAAAAACATGGATATCTAATCAATACTTGATCAGAGAACGCTTTTAATGGTACCGTTGTAAATCCAGCATCTTTGCATGAAGTGTAACTTGTAATCACGCTTACAGTCCCTTTAAATAATAATAATATTTACCTGAATATGAATCCCAGGATAAACAGAGAAAATGCCAGTTCCCGTCGTTAGCCGTTACATCGGTAACAACCTTCTCCCCCTTTACACTCAACACAAAACCGTTGTAATCAGTTACCGTCAACTAAATAATAACAATCAGTTAGCTAGATTTTAACAATAGCTAGATAGTAACAGTCGTCAGCTAAATAGGAACAATTGTGAAATAGATATTAACAATCGCTAATTAGATATTAACAATCATTCACTAAATAGTAACAACTGTCAACTAGATAGTCACAACTATCAGTTAGATAGTAACAATCGTCAGCTAGATAAAAACAGTTGTCAGCTAGATAGTAATAGTCGTCAGCTAGATAGCAACAGTCGTCAGCTCGATAATAACAATCGTTAAGTAGATATAACTGTCAACTTCATTTATTATTGATTGTAAACAATTTTACAATACATTTCATAATTCGATTAGAAAATTTTTTATTTATGAATTTGATTCATTTTGCTTCGGATTTAATTACTGGTTTAAAAGTGTTAATTATTGAAATATACGAAATTTAAACCAATTCAGATTCGGAGGTGAGGAAATATTTTCAACAACAAGATTGCAGCCCTGTTGGACAGTGCTCACAAAACAGTTGATCCATTAGAAACGAATTTAATTAACTTTATTTCATTTAACAATATTCATCTCGGGCTATTTTGGACTTATATCTTGATCTACTGTAGCGTAGGAGAATACTGTTCCATAATTATCTTATACCTCATTATCCTGGTATACTGTAGCGTAGGAGAATACTGTTCCATAATTATCTTATACCTCATTATCTTGATCTACTGTAGCGTAGGAGAAAGCTGTTCCATAATTGTCTTTATCATCAGATTTCATCCAAAAACACATTGTAAACTAAAAAACAAGGATGAATCTAATTTTTTTTAAATTGCAAAAACATGTAGCTAAATATAATTTTCAATCATCCTTAATCTGAGATTTGGATCTGCTCTGCCTGTATCCTTTATTTGTATTAAAGTCTTATCCTTTATTGGTATTAAATTCTTATCCTTTTTTTGTATTAAAGTCTTATCCTTTGTTGGTATTAAATTCTTATCCTTTATTGGTATAACAGTCTTATCCTTTATTGGCATTAAAGTTTTATCCTTTGTTGGTATTAAATTCTTATCTTTTATTTGTAATAAACTCTTATCCTTTGTTGGTATTAAATTCTTATCCTTTATTTGTATTAAAGTCTTATCCTTTGTTGGTATTAAATTCTTATCCTTTATTGGTATTAAAGTCTTATCCTTTGTTGGTATTAAATTCTTATCCTTTATTTGTGTTAAAGTCTTATCCTTTGTTGGTATTAAATTGGTATATGCGTAACCCTTTGTTCAAGGAAATAAATAACCTGGTCCAAGGGTGTATACATCTGGTCCAGGAGAACATAATCAAGGGTTTCAGTGGAAGGAGTGTTTCCAAATGTTAAAATAAAATTTGGAAGGATTTCTAAAAATATAAAAAATAATGAAAAAGTTTTAAAAAGTTTTAGAATCACAGGATCATCTAAATCTAGGACTTAGTGGCTAAAATCATTATGATAAGTAATTCTGAGGAATTGAGTCTTTGCCACAAACTCGAATTGTCTAATTTTCCTTTATCGTTACAACTCGATGGAATAAACCTTCGATATTTCAAACTTCTATCATTTGATTTCAGAAAATTCATAGATTTTGTGTTGCAAAGATATCAGAGTAGCAAATACTTAATTCCTTTATAACCAACATTCATGGATTCTATAGCTTGTAAATGAGTGTAAAACTGGTTAAGTCCAAAAAGTTTAATTGATAATATAATGAAAGAGATGATTACTGGCTTCAAGCTTTGTTTTACAAAGATCTATTTCTTTGGTGAAAATCTTTTATATTTCAAACTTTAAGTCATTGATCTAGAAGAATTCAAATTTTTGAAAATCAAAGGTTTACAACATCAGAAGTTAGAAGTTTTGTGTTGTGAATTATGAGATCTTGTGCATGCAGTATTATACGGATAAATTTAATTTCTCTTTTATATCCCGTAGTGATCACACCCTGCAGGAATATCTTGTAGTGATCACACCCTGCAAGAATATCCCGTAGTGATCACACCCTGCAGGAATATCCTGTAGTGATCACACCCTGCAGGGATAAACCGTAGTGATCATACCCTGCAGGAATATCCAGTAGTTATCACATCCTGCAGGAATATCCCATAGTGATCACACCCTGCAGGAATAACCCGTAGTGATCATACCCTGCAGGAATATCCCGTAGTGATCATACCCTGCAGGAATATCCCGTAGTGATCACACCCTGCAGGGATATCCCGTAGTGATCACACCTTGCAGGGATATCCCGTAGTGATCACACCCTGCAGGAATATCCCGTAGTGATCACACCCTCCAGGAATAACTAGAATTCAGATATCTAGCATTGATCATCAAATTTAAAAGTGTCCACATTGTATATCGAGCTATCAAGTTTACCGATACTTCACACAAATGTTCTTACTTTATGTTGCAAAGATATTATGATCAGAAAATTAGAGTTTGAGGCGAGAAATCAATTGCTTTCCTTGGTGAAGTGTAAAAGGGGCGGAGAAGGGGGGGAATAATAAAAAGCATGAAAATTATTACATAAATATATTGCATTATATTACCCTGTTCCGGCCTGGTAAACGGTATAATGGGTTGGATAAAGAAATATATATTTCTATAGATATATAAATATATCTACAGGGTGATAAAAAAACAGCGAATTTTTAAAAATATTATTTTTTTTCGGATTTTAGGCATAAATAAAATAAAATTTGATAAAAATATTCAAAATATTTTTGAAACACTGAACAAAAATTCCGCGAAACCAATTTTTTTTAAATTTGCATTTTTTAAGTCAGAACAATTCTAAGGATATAATTTAACACATTTAATGCAGATTTCCACTCTAATCTTTTTGCAGAATTTTTGTTATATCTCATTCAATTGTTTATTAATTTTTATGAAATTTTGGAAAACAATGAAAATACATTTTCCCAACAATTTTTCAAAAATTTTATTGTTTTAAAGGGAGTGTTCGCGAAAAATGAAAGGGGGTATAGGCTTAATGCGATAAAAAAGCGCTTTTGATCGCCACTAATCTTACTTCTATCTGTTGCGCCTATAAGGAGAAAATTGTTAAAGACGTCTCATGCCGAAGAGCGTAGTGCCCATACAAATTGAGGAAGTTGGAACATACGACTTAGACCGTAAAAAATCAAATTAATATCAAACAAATCATTCAGACATTACACCCTATAGTCATCGATTATCTTTCGCCACATTTGTATATATTTAATATTTCATACTAGTTTTGATCTTGTTTTTTAAAATAATATTTAGCTTACAACTTGTTTTCAAACATTCCTGGAAAATATAAAAATGTCGTCTTCATTACCAAAAATCCTCGAAACAGGAAAGGATGTTTTATATGTATTTCTCAGATCATAACAATTAAAACATATTATGAAAAGTCAACTATATATAAATGTGGCGAAAGGTAATCGATTACTATAGGCTGTAATATCTGAATGATTTGTTTGAAATTAAATTGATTTNCTTATCATCGTCTTATAGACGCAACAAATAGAAGTAAGATTAGTGGCGATCAAAAGCGCTTTTTTATCGCATTAAGCCTATACCCCCTTTCATTTTTCGCGAACACTCCCTTTAAACAAAAATTGGTTTCGCTGATTTTTTTTCCATGTTCCCAAAATATTTTTGAATTTTTTTATCATTTTTTATTTATTTACGCCTAAAATACAAACAAAATAAAATTTTTGAATTTTTTTTCCAAAACATAGATAATCTCTGTTTTTTTTTACTCACACTGTATATTCCATACATGGTTACCCACAAAAAATGAGACTGTAAAGACGACCGAAAGCTCTTAAAATGTAACAATTCTAAGTTTTCGGCCACATGTATTGTAATCTAATGGCTTACATAATGATTTGGCAAAGAAAGAAACAAGTTTACAGTTGTAGGCAATCGTGAATATAAGGAAACAGGCCGTATAAATTCTGTACAGTCGTCTCTGAAGTCTCATCCTTTGTGGGTAACCCTGTACTTTCTTTAGTATAAAGAACTCTAAGAGCATGATTGATGTTAATCGGAGCCATATAAAAGTAAATGTGAATAGTTAATCTTTCTGGGCCTTTTTGGCGCTAAAACAGAATGTAACCATACTTATCTGGAAAAATATAAAAAGATAAACGAACGTGGCAAAGTATTATAAATTTACGTGTTTTACAAAGTATTATAAATTTACGTGTTAGACAAAGTATTATCTGCAGGAATATCCCGTAGTGATCACACCCTGCAGGAATATCCCGTAGTGATCACACCCTGCAGGAATATCCCGTAGTGATCACACCCTGCAGGAATATCCCGTAGTGATCACACCCTGCAGGAATATCCCGTAGTGATCACACCCTGCAGGAATATCCCGTAGTGATCACACCCNGACAAAGTATTATAAACCTACGTGTTTGACAAAGTATTAGAAACCTACGTGTTTGGCAAAGTATTAGAAACCTACGTGTTTGACAAGGTATTATAAACCTACGTGTTTGACAAAGAATTAGAAACCTACGTGTTTGACAAAGTAGTATAAACCTACGTGTTTGTCAAAGTATTATAAACCTACGTGTTTGACAAAATATTATAAACCTACGTGATTGACAAAGTATTATAAACCTGCGTGTTTGACAAAGTAGTATAAACCTACGTTTTTGACAAAGTATTAGAAACCTACGTGTTTGACAAAGTATTATAAACCTACGTGTTTGACAAAGAATTATAAACCTACGTGTTTGACAAAGTATTAGAAACCTACGTGTTTGACAAAGTATCATAAACCTACGTGTTTGACAAAGTATAAGAAATCTACGTGTTTGATAAAGTATTAAAAACCTACGTTTTTTGACAAAGTATTATAAACCTACGTGTTTGACAAAGGTTTCCTGAGAATCCAGGTGGGCAGATACACTGGAAGTGTCCTGGAGTAGGTAAGCAGGTTGAGAACCCGAAGCAAGGACTGGTTAAACATAGGTTCTCCAGGTACTCACAGTTCTCTCCAGTCTTACCAGGAGGGCAGATACAGTTATATCCGTCTAAAAGATAAAAACATAAAAACGCAGCTTTGCAAAATGTATAGTTAAATAGTACAGAGGATGAGAGAGCGATATTGTTTGCTAATCTATGGTTTAATAATACAGAGGATGAGAGGGCGATATTGTTTACTAATCTATGGTTTAATAATACAGAGGGTGAGAGGGCGATATTGTTTACAAATCTATGGTTTAATAATACAGAGGATGAGAGGGCGAAATATTTGTCTCTTAAACCAATACATTTAGCACTCAACTACAAGGGTTCCTTCCTTGACGAAGGATCAACCTTAGCCATTGATCATCCGTCCTCTTTGGAGCCAAGGATGGGCATCTTTCCCCTGTTTTATTTGTTAAAAGTTTACAGGTGTTATAAATTAGATAATGATATGGAATTCGGTTTATAAAACTAGGTGGGTTTCTATACAAAAGCCAACTTGGATAGCAAGGGGAGCCAATGGAAACCCCTCCCTTCCCCTGTATTAA